TATTTCTTGGTGTCTATACAGATAAGATTGCTCTCTATTAACCTTTATTGGTGGCATCTCATTGAAATAGTTCTATGATTACTTAATTTACTATAAATTCTAGTTTAATTAAGGACCAATGCTAGTTAACTGACATCTTTTGCTGGAGGCTCTTGAAACATGCATTTCACTTGTATGTAAACTCATTTTCTCAACAATCAGTTAACCTACAGGCTATATTTCCCAGCTGGCAACATGGGTTCTTTGCTCAAACATGACCAAACTTTGTTTCATCATACCGAACTGAAAATCTCATCATTTCTATTGAGTTTACTGTCATCTGCATATTTCTGTCACAAGTAACATACAACTGAAACATTAAATAGTTTTTCAGGTTATTAGTTTATTTATAAATTCAAAATTAAGATGCATAAGACCTAAAGTACTGGACTACATGGTATATAGTGAGTTTTCCCTAGGCTGATGTTTCTCATTGCTTGGGAGACATGAGGAATATTGACCTGGAGAACTGAAGTTTTTCATTCCGATTGCTATTCTGAAAGACGTGTACCTCTGAATTGCAATTATTCACTTGATTGAACTGCATTTACACCTTTAAGGCTCTGGTATTTGGCAGACTTATGCTTGCTCTCATCAAGCAGGTTTCCCACAGGATTCCTGGGGGATTGTCTCATACAGTAGGGGGCCATGATACTAAGTCAGTGTAAGGAAGGTGTATACATACGTTTTATAACTGCTGCCTGAGGCATATGCTAGTTGGCTATCCTTCTGGTGAGAAGTCTCCTTTCCTTCTTCCCCCCTCCCCTTTTGCCTCTAAAGTAGAAGGGGAGAATAAAATGAAGAGAGAAGCAGATAGAAATAGGTTTGCATGAGAATACGAAGGATTTCTCAAAAGTTCTGCCAGTAGCCCACAAGTCGTCATCGGAGGCAGCCGCAAAGTGCTGGACCAGTTTGGGAAACTTATTTTTTATTTTAAAAAATGTTTTTCACCTGGTTGGATCCATTGCATGAAAAAATGCATTCTTTAGCCACCCCTCATACACCTTTTCCACACTTTATCAACGGACACCGTTATTTCTAGTCTTAAATTAGTACCTTGTGATCTAAAAAATAAAGAAACCCGCTACTGGCAGAACTTTTGAGAAATCCTTCGTATGGCCTGCTACTCATCCCCTCTCACTTTCTCTGGGTTGCCTGTCCCTCTTCCCTTCAAGGTTGTGCCATTGAACATTCTTCATCTTTGTCAAGGCACTGCTGACAGCTTCTTCATGCAATCTATGGTGACAAGGCCTCCTCAATCAGCATTGGCATAGCCAGCCATTGCTTGTAGGAGATAATGAGCCCAATCTGTTCATCGGTTTATCGGTGGAGTGTTATAGTTGCATTCCTTGCAGAACAGTTCTCTCTCTGTTCAGCACTTTTCCCGAGATAGGCCAGGATTCATGTTGTCATGTACAATCTGTCTCTTGACACATTGTTTGCTTTTTGTGTGCTCCAGGATTACTAAAACTACTCCTTGAGAAGTGATGAAACCACCAAATTCTGATGGTGGTACGAAGCATCCACGATTCAAATGCACCATTTGAAACAGCCAACCAAAATCCAAATTTTCTATATTTTTGCTTCTTCCTGCATATTGATGCTGTACCTTTGCAAAGAAACTTTGGGCAAAATGCCATCTGGGTCATGTCTTTCAGATATGACCTTGCAGTTTACGTCTGCTGCCTCATGAAGGGAACACAGCGATGAGAGGTTTTTGGCATTCCAAAGAACTTGCCAAAAGATTAAATGTTCACGCTTGAAGGCCCGCATGCAGGATAGAAGATAAGGCTCTTTTTCCTGGTGTATAATCTGCTGTTCTAGGATGAAACCCCTCTCAAGTTTCTGACATCCTACACAATAGTAAAAAAAAAAATCATCTAGTAATCAGGTGGGGGCCAGGTTAAAGTTGCAGTGATTTTGATCAGTCGCGTGCTATCACCCTATACCAGGTAAAGCCGATGTGTCGGCTCGGCCGATTCGATACATGTGCCGTCGCGAGGACCATGAAGGAAGATAGCGCGTTTAAGTGCTGTTATCGTAGCCCTGTCATCTTTTTATATTTGTTTACTCCATCGTCCCTTGGCGAGGAACCCCGTCATGTTAACGGGGTGACGTGGAAATATGATGGCAGCCTGCGATGATGCGGGAAAACGATAAAAAAAAAAAAGCCAGAAGGAAAGATGGGCTGTGTTCGCCCTCATTCTGAGACGCATAGGGAAATAAAGCAATTCCTTCCTGTCTCTTACTTTCTCAGAAGAGGGTAAGGGTCAGGGGAAGGACTTGGCTTTGACAAATGAGTAAGATGAATGCTCTTATGAGGACCCATTGTTCCACTAATGGGAGATTGAACAAGCTTGGGTTTTTTTTTCCCTGGGAGTCACTCAGCTGTGTGTGCTTTTATACAATACATGGCTGCATCGAGGTCGCCATTCTCGGGCACTTACCATAATTGTAATAATATGTAATGTAATGTGTAAAGGTTCCACGGTATTCAGTATTCGTTTTCGTGCGGTCTGTTGTTGTTTCGAAGGGATTTTTTTATTTGCCAGGCAACAGGGCAATTAAGCCGCCGATTGATTCCCATGGTTACCGTTGAGTGTGCAGTGTCTCGGCGGATCCCCCGCTGCGGGACGAGTGGAAAATGAATTTATGGATGAAATATTCACGAAATAATTATTAGGGCCAGCGCATGCAGTGAGCCTGATGGGAAATAACAGCAAGAAAAATGGAAAAAAAAACTTATCAGAAGTAACTAAAGGACTTTAAACTTGAGACCTGAGACAATTACCGATGTAATAAGGCATTTTATTGGGTCATTGGTTACATTTCTCTCGATAAGATGCTGCATTTATTTTAATACATTATTTAATACATTTGGTGAGTTGGAATGTCGAGCTTAATTACTCGGCCATAATATCCCTTGCTTGCCCCCGATTGCTTGAGATTTGACTGGTCGCAACGAACCGACGGAGAGCCCTTAGTGCCTGTTCCGTCTTAGGTCCCATTGCCTCCGTGAAAATCAGTCGTTGGTCATCCGTGAAAGGGTAGGCGAACTTCGAAGTGTCTCGACCTTCGTCTCCAGTCGTATGTACCATGGCTGCAGTGCGTCGACAGGCCGAGAGAAAAAAAAATGCAGGTGCATGGATGTTGGTAGTAGACGCGGGGGAACCTGTAGTGCCGTGGAGGGGTCTGCGCCTGGCCTGACGCTCCCTTCCGTGGCAATTTCCGTTCCTTCGCTCCATTACTCGCTGCTTATCAATGATTGTGTATTTTGCCGATGAATCGATGCATCCATCGAGGTTAGGTCGATGTTTTCGTAACTGCCCTCTCGGCAGCCAGAGGGTGGTTCCGATTCTTGTTTTCGAGCTGTTGAGCCTACGTTTCGTGTGATGCGAAGAAAATTAATTATGATGGTGCAATATTGTTTACTTCCGGGATCGATGTCCAAAAAAACATGTTAGCCTGTCGCAAGCACTAATTACTCGTCTCGTGTCTCCCCTTCAACAACACGAGCTGCCGTGCCTTCTTTGTGGTTCTCGACTTAGCGCGTGGATCGATGCTTAGTGCAGCAAGAGTAAAGTGATTAAAAGTGATTAATTGTTATTATTTGATCAAATAATCAGTTTCTTCAGTTGCAGTTCAGACGCCTCATAGGTACCGATTTCAAAGATGAACTCATCGCCCAACTTGGGTAGGAGAGACGTTGAACCCTGTTTAGCTCCATAATCGATCCATTAAATCCGTAACTTATTTGAAGTCAGCGAATCAAACGTCTTAGAAAAAAGCAACCCTGATTTGAGTCATGAATGCCTTCTCAATGAGGCAGGACCCCCCCCCCCCCCCCCCCAAAAAAAAGAGAAGATGATAATAAATCCTTGAAGCGCAGACACCGGCACAATCACAGGGTCCCCCGGGGGAAAGGTGAGGGCGTGCTGGGAAGCGGAAACCCTCATCTGTATGAATGATTCTCTCTCCAGACTCGTTCCCCTCCCGTGACGTGAACGTGCAATAATGAGGGTTGGGCGAGGCTGATGGAAATGCAGTCATTCGCGCTCACCTTGAGGGAGGGATACACACGGGCCTAGGCGGGGAGGGGGGTCGTTGGCTGAGATTATCCTGTGCAGGCCTGATCCTTGGAGGAGGGTCGTGCCTACACGCTTGGACGCTTGCGGGGAACCGTGTATTAAGTTTCAATGATGGGTCTAATGCCGATTGCCAAGGTTTTGGGTGGTTTTGGCGCCGGCATTTCATTTCGGTGTTTCACAGTAGTAATTGGTTACATCCTGGCTTCTTTTTTTTCTCCATCTGGGGTACGTTTAGTCCTCTGTTAGGTCAGACCGAGTTTAAATTTTGAAAATTTTCAAATTGGTCATTAGAATGCACAACGTCTGTTGATCAACCAGGTTTCAGTATTCTTGCATTTGTTGAGATCTCAGCCAGAGCATATATATACAATCTGTTTTTTGTAGCATAAGTGGTAATTCATCCACTCTGTAAATTCCATCTGAATGAGCTGATGTTAAGAACTTATTGTATTGAAAAAGTGAAGAACATGGGCTGACCTAGCCCAGAACTACCTTCTGGACTATATTTCTGCATAAACTAGTCTTATTGGCCTATGCCCCTCTCTTACTATATGTGGAGGCCTGCTAATCAACCAAGGTACAGGTACTTATGCTCTTGCCTTGGGAGCTTCAGATGTTATGTATTCAGCATGCATTTAGGCCATTGGCCTAGATCTTCCCTATCCTACTCTGGTTATGCTAGAATTAAGTTGATATTGCAGAGAAGTTCTCTGTAATTGTGGGAGGTACTTTGTTTTGCCTTGCACCTTGACAGACAGGGTTCTGAAAATTTTCAAATGATGGGACGAGTGACTTAGGGATTGACAGGCCTCTTGTAGTTGTAGGAGGTGTATTGTATTGTGAGGAATGCAGTTTCACTTTGGTATCCCCTTCAGGTGTGATCCTTGCCTTCTCTAGCCAAAGAACACATTTCTTTGGTCATTTGGAAGGAGTTGCTGTTCAATCTGACCAAGGTTTCAGATATAGGCCTTATGTCAAACTGAACTTAAAAGCAATAATCTCAGTTATCCTTTGGACTGCATGAAAGTGGAGAGCAAAATGGCGGCAGTGCCCACGGACTCCTCTAGAATGGTGCACCACATCAAGTTCAAGAATAGAGGAAAAGACCAAGACGTAAGCTTCTTTTGCATGTGCCTATCAATGTGCAGATTTCATATCTTTAATATATGAGGATCTGAATTTTTAAAATCTCTTTTGTATTTGAAGTCAATTAACATTGGACTCTTGTGTGATGTTATGTTAGGAGATGCGGCGCAGGAGAAATGAGCTGACAGTTGAACTTCGGAAAAACAAGAGAGATGAGACCCTGCAGAAGAGGAGAAATGTTCCCCAACCCGACTCCACTGGTTAGTGCATAAAGACCAATTGTGCCAAAAAATAATTTCAAATGATGTTCAGTAGTAAAGAGCTTCATTTTAGCACTGCATTGACACTGGGAAATTGTGGTTTTGGCATAGTCTAAAGAGTTTGCTCTTGTGAACTAAGTGCACACTTGAAAAATAAAAGTTTACAGCCCCCATAATATGCCACTTCCATAGAAGATGATGTCTGTGTTTGTATAGATGGCAACTTTCAGAAAATAATTATAGGTGATGATGTGCTTTGCCAATCTCCCATGTCATGATTCAAAACATCAGTTCGACATTTGAAGAACTTATTTGCCAAGTTGAGTCAAAATCATGCACTAGCAGGTCCTAGGGAAACTCTTGTGATGGTAATCAGTATGAGTAAGCCTTGACATCAGTGTTTGAAAATGCTAAACATCAGGTAAAAAAAGCGTAGTATTTGACACATGCATATTTTAAATGGTTGCCTGTTTGAACTAATGCAGAAAAGTTTTTGTTCCATTTGCTTATTAAGAAGTGTTTTACATGTGCTTCATGTAAGCATTTCTTGAGTAAGTTTTTTTTGTTTCGTCTGACTTGCATCTGATCACTTTCACCTGAACTCGGACCAGTATTACAAAACTTGTAAGAAAATGAAATTAAGAATGCCTTCTAATTCTTGATATACTCAAATTGAGAAAAGGAAGTGTTTAGTCAAAATTAAGGACTTGAAGAATCTGATTTCCTGCCCTGCCTCCCTGATTCCCTGCCTCATTTACTACTTCATAATTTCACCATAGATGAGGAGGATATGCCAAGCATCACAACAATGAATCTTAAGACGATAGTGGAGAATGCATGCAGTGACCAACCACTGGTGCAGCTGCAGGCGGTGCAGGCAGCACGGAAGCTCCTCTCCTCAGACCGCAATCCTCCCATAGATGACCTAATCCAGTCCGGTATCCTCCCTGTCCTGGTCCAGTGCCTCGAGAAACAGGACAAGTAAGAGTCTTTCACTTCTTGCTTCACTTGTCAATTCACTTTGTGATTTTCAATTGTATTGGCTGTCCACTGCTCCTTGTATTTTATAACTGTGACCTTTTGTTGACACTTGGTTTCTTTGTGTCTACTGAGTGAAATACTACTGGCAATTCCATGTGAGATGACAAGTGGGAGGAGGGGATGGTCACTTCAATTGGAACAGGAATGAATGATCCACTTTTTGATGCAAAGCTATGACTTAAATCCTTGTTGGAACCTATTTTCCTGCCACATGTAGTGTCTACACCTCTACTAACACCTCATCTCACCTCAGATGATACATCATCTATACCTCAACAGAAATAAATATTGAGGACATTCATTGTACTGAAATGAAAACTAATGAAAAAAATCCAGTTCTTATTGAGAAATGCTTCCATTCCAAACTCTTTGGCTTCATTTTTGGGATTCTACAATATTGGACATGGCTCTCCTGATATTTGAGGCTCTATTCTAGGGGCTAAGTGCTAAAGGTGTGTCATTCAAAAACTTCAACCAGCTCTTTTAAAGTAACAGTTGACACTAATCAGTAATTAAGCTTCCATGCATTCAGAGTCACAAAGCTGAATTGCATTTTGCTACCTTTGCAGTCCCTCACTGCAGTTTGAAGCTGCATGGGCATTGACGAACATCGCCAGTGGGACATCTCATCAAACGAAGGCAGTGGTGAGCGCTGGGGCAGTTCCACATTTCCTTGCCCTTCTCTGCTCCCCACATCAGAACGTGTGCGAGCAGGCTGTCTGGGCATTAGGTAAGCTCTCTGTTCCATAGTGGAATGCTTCACTCTGTTTGCACTCTTATTTATATTATATCATACAGTGGTGGGACTGCATGCCAATATGTGGTATTGATTGAAAGGTATTTTAAAATGGAAGTATATATGTAAAAAGTTGTTATACATTATACATTTGTTGACACCTTGAGTTGAGCTGTCATGTCTTGTGGAAACCTCTTTCCATTGTCAATAATGCTTTTCACATTTCATTTTATACCATAGCTGAATATGTCTATGCCTTTCTGTTTGGATATAGGCCTGCTATTGTTTTTCAAATTCTGGTTTCAATATCTTCTTTGTTGATTATTTTAAAATGTGTAACCTGTCCCACCAGGACAGTCCAAATGTTTTTTTGTTCTTTTGGAAAAGCATTCAGAGATGTGGGATTGCTTTGGTATCTCCCAGGGAATATCATTGGAGATGGGCCAGAGCTGCGGGACTATGTGATTCGGCTGGGGGTTGTGCAGCCACTGCTATCGTTCATTTCCCCCAACATCCCCATCACGTTCCTCCGCAACGTCACCTGGGTCATGGTGAACCTGTGTCGGAACAAGGATCCACCCCCTCCTGTCACTACAATCCAGGAGGTCCTCCCTGCACTTAATGCACTCATCCTCCACACTGACATTAATGTGAGCTTGCCATCCTAATCTTTTGTGCTGTGGCAGTTATGACTTTCTAGTCAATATCAATGTGCAAAGGATGCTGTGATATGCTGCCTGAAATTCAACACTGAAGCCTTAGATGAGGATTTGAGGCATGATGGTTCAAGTCTTGTGTTGGGTTGTTATCTTTTTCCTTTTTCAGGACTGCCAATTATTGCTATGTTAGTGTTAATCATTATGTAGTATGTTATATTCATATTGATTATGTTGATAATGTGCCTATTGCAGTATTCATTTTCTTGCTGATATAGCATTCATGAAGAAATTGGTATTTTTAAAAATCCATGGTTGATTGATGGAAGAGAATCTGAATGAGCTAGCTTGAATCACAGTGTAATTCTCCTGAGTCACAAAGGAAAAGATGGGCCAGACTTGATCACTCTATTAATGCTGGGGCAATATTCTTCAAATTGCTACACTTACAGTGCATTGGCAAGAGTTAGCAGGCACCACCATGAGGCATTTCTGCATATACAATAGTGGTGCAATGGAGAGATTTGCCAATCATGATGGCCTCCCCAACAGGCACTGTAAATGCTGTCTTTCCAAATTTTTTTTTTTTTTATGCACATGAAAATCTCATTCCATCCCATCACAGCCTTGAAATTGGTGCCACCCACTACAACAATATTGTCCCAAAGGTCATGCCCAACCATTTACAGTGAAAACTTGTCAACTCGAATTCTGATAAGTCGAAATTCAGCTTATCTCTAAGTTCAATGCTTGGTCCCGACGGAACCCTGTAGGACACCATGTTAAAAGCTCCGTTTAACTCACATTCGCTTATCTTGAATTTCTGGATATCTCGGATGAAATTTTCACTCCCTATAACTATTTTCTCACGGTTAACTTGAATTCAGCATGAGGAGGTGGAAAAATTCTTCTCTTTGGACTTTTTGATTTTTGAATAGAATGAATGACAAGAAACCTGTTCGGGAGGATGTTCTTTTGTTTCTTTTGTGTTTTTTTTTTTCTGCTTCTCCCTCCTCCCACACAGATGCCTGTGGAGAGGATTAAACCTGAGGATTAAAACCGAAAAGCTTTGACTATAAAAAAAAAAGCCTCCAACATTCACTCTGTCAATCTGTCGCTCTCACTCCGAGCCATTCTGTCCTCTATGTCCCTTAATGGGAGTTTTTTTGGGGGGGTGGGGGGTGGAGCGATTGCTGATAACTTGAACTTTGGATAACTCGAAACGATTTGCCTGGTCACTAAAAGTTCGAGTTAACGAGTTTTCACTGTACGTCTCTTGGTTTTGAGCATGAGGTGGAAACGTATTACATATGTTTTGATATTGGCACCCAAGGTTGGTTTCTCTTTGTAAATCATATTGCACATACCTACTCTACTTATCTCTTATGATCTTACTTGAGTGTAAAGGCTGGAGCCCTTATTTACATGTAGTTCATTGACTTTGAAGTTTTGCCTGCAGAAAGTATTCAGGATCATTTTGAGGCCAAGTTTAGCATTCTTTGATCTGAATTCTTGTAGTTTTAGGATTGGATGTAGATTTGATTATATGTGGTTAGATATGAATTAATATGATTCTTATTTAAAATGATATGGTAAAAAGAGTTTGAATTAAGACAAAAACATATAAATGGACTGTAATTCTCACTAATATATTAGGCCATGTTCACCCAGACAGCAGCTAATAGGTTATTGTGTCAACAGATCCTGGTGGACACAGTATGGGCATTGAGTTACCTGACTGATGGAGGAAATGAGCAGATCCAAATGGTCATCGACAGTGGGGTTGTTCCTAAACTTGTCCCTCTTCTCTCCCACAAGGAAGTGAAGGTCTGGCACTCCCTTATGCTTTTTTTTATTTTTACTTAAGTTTGTGGGTAAATGGGAATGATGTTTAATGAGTGAAATGTGTTCTCATTCTCATTTTTGGAATTGAAGGAGTCAAGTTGATTTTGATGTGTAACATACTAGTAGATATTTTTGCAATGGATATTGAGCATTATATTGTTGTTATATTCTTTGGCCTGTTAATGGAAAATCTTACAATAACTTAATTTTAAGTTCAAAACAATAGTATCAGATGCATGATAAACATATTGCCCCATGTGGAATGCAGATGACAGAAATACAGTGTTGTTTCTCCTAAACTCATATTTATTCTGAAAGCTGAGAGTCCCTGGATTCATAAGTAAATTTCAAACTATTGGTTTGAATTGTGTCTGAATAGGGACAACATAAATGAGGAGACATATATGCCATGATGAGTTTGGTGATGATGTTGATGCTGACAGATTATGTAATTGGCACACAGGTTCAGACTGCAGCGCTAAGGGCGGTAGGAAACATAGTGACGGGCACAGACGACCAGACACAGGTGGTCCTTAACTGTGATGCCCTTTCTCACTTCCCTGATCTCCTTCAACATCAGAAGGAGAAGATCTGCAAGGTGAGACATGGATCATCTCTTGTGTTTTGAGCAGTTATCGGCACAAACTAAAATTCCCAAATCATGATGTAGGGGAGACTTTGATGCAGTGGTAAAGCACAAACTGGGAACATCTCAGACATGCACTGCATGTAGACATTCCAGATGAAAGAAGTATATTTCAGTGACAGCCCAGCAGGTGCTAGATGATCTACTCCAGTAGAGGTCTGCTTAGAACTAGGATCGCTATGGAGCAGATTTTTATGCAAATGCATACTTTTTCTGCAGCCTCCTAGGAACATGCAACCCAGCTAGGATCATGTCTCATTGGTAGAGAAGCAATTTCTTCCATTTAAAAAATGCTTTAAAATGCATATTTTCATGTTTTTCTGATCATGTGCATATTTATGAATATATGTGCATATTTATGGATATATATGTATATTTTGCCAATTTTTCTGGGAAAAATGTACTTTCTTTATGAACCACCAATGAAAAATTTCAAGCGGTTATGAACTGTGACCAGTAGTGTAGTGTGGGGGGGGAGAGTTGAGGCAGTGAAATCCCCTAACTGCTCTAAATTCATCCGTCACCTTCACCCTTCCTGAGAAGTTTAGGAAATTCCAGCCCCATTTGTTTCCCTTAGCCCTCCATTGGCAAATTCCTGGCTTTGCTGCTGGCTGTGCCAAGAATTAACCAACTATACCCAGTAGAGGCATGAAATGTACATTGAAGTTACTTCTGAAAAATTAGTACTACATATAAAAAACAAGTATTTGCATATTTTTCCACATTGGTGCTCTTGTATATTTTGGCATTTTTACGTGTATATCCATGTGCATATTTTTGGACTTAGTGCATAAAAATCCACTCCCTAATGATTGCATACAACATGCAGTGTGCACCTTTTGACAGTCACCATGTTGATGCAGTGGTCATGAACTGAATACCAGAAGTTTGTTAGCTAGTTATGTAGGCTATTGCCAAAAATGAAAAGTTGGGGAAAGTAGATGGGATTCTCACAAACCTGGTCTTGTCAATGCCATTTTAAATCTTGTTTCATGTTGTGTAATGAGTTCTATGTTTTTGTGTGCAGGAAGCAGTGTGGTTCCTGTCAAACATCACTGCTGGTAACCAGGCCCAGGTCCAGGCAGTGATCGACCATGGCCTCATCCCCCTTGTCATCCATCACCTCTCAAAGGTGGACATCCATCTTCATAAATTTCCAATTCATTGCTGGAACATGTCAAACATAGAGAATGGTGTAACAAAACCATTAGTTTTCACATTGGCTTTTGCTTGCAGTCGGTGTCTTTCCTTTCGTGTTGTGCAACACAGAGACTAATAACTATATTTCCCCTTCTGAAGACTGGTCATCATTGTTGTGTAGGGTGAGTTCCAGACGCAGAAGGAAGCAGCATGGGCCATCAGCAACCTGACGATCAGTGGGAACAAGGATCAAGTGTCATACCTCATCCAAGAGGGAGTCATCCCACCATTCTGCAGCCTCCTCACATGCAAGGATGCCCAGGTCATCCAGGTTGTCCTTGATGGCCTCAACAACATCCTCAAGATGGCTGGACCCCAGCTGGAGGTTGTTTGCACAGCCATCGAAGAGTGTGGTGGTGAGCTACTGCTGCTTTTTTGTAATAACCATATATTAGGAATGTTTCATAACCATTAAAAGGCATTGAGTGGATAAGCTCACAAATACCTGAATGGCTCATGCCAATAAGAGAATGCATGCTATTAATTAGTGAGTTTTATTAATATATGACCATAGATGGTAAAAAGAAATTGGCATCTGGATGGGAATGATGGCTCCTACTTCGTATATTTCTAAGCTCCTGATCAGGTGCTATTGTCCACTGATATGCCAATCAAGGATTTTTGCATGCTGAGGCTAACCTATTGATATGCAGTCATTACTGTTAATTGAAACTATATAGATTTATCAGAGATGTTGAAACTTCTGTTTGTCACAGTTACAAAAGAACCCTTGGGCCTAGAAGGGAGGGAAATTTATATAGTACTCATGCACTGGAGGCATGGTGCTTAGCAGTTTTAATGGAGTGCTGTGATTTTTGACAAATACATCAGACCACATTTATCAGATGGGCATCAATCCTCATGTTTCCCCTTGATGAAGTCTTAATTGTACTTAATGGAATTTCTTCCCATTCAATATAAATTGAGTTGTGTATGTTCCAGGGCTGGACAAAATTGAGCAGTTGCAAGATCATGACAACGTGGACATCTATAAGCTTTCCTATGATATTGTGGAGCAGTTTTTCTCTGAGGTGAGTCTCATGCCAGGTCTGCAGTTTGTTAATTGAAAAATATTAGTTGCATGTCAGGCACATGGCTGGGTACAAGGAAGTTGCAGTTTGTGTGGCCCATTTGGTAATTTTCAACATGTTTATTGGGAAATTAGGTTTTATTTATTGTTTATTCTGGAAAAAAAGCTTTTGTGGACAAGTGACAGGTATTGAACTGTTGCATCTCTTTGCACTGCACAATGCAACAGTGGAATAGGAAGTGCAAGGTTGAGTAACAGGTTTATCTTTCATTATTTTCAATTTTTCAGGTTGATGAAGAGCAGCCTGGTGAATCAGGGGCGACTTTCCAATTTGAGCCAAGTGCTGCCCTGGAAAATCCAGGTGGCTTCAAGTTCTAGGCGCCATACTTTGAAGTTGCGAGAGTCGATCTGGTTTTTCGACAGTTCCCTGCAGCAAGCAAAAGCGCGTTCTCAACAATCCTGCGGCCAGCGAATCCCCCTCTGTACAGCCCTCTCACAGACACTGCTGCGCTCAAGCCCCTGCAATTGAAAGGGAGAGAATGAGAGTGAAGGTGGCAGTCCTGATTGGTTCATACGACCCTTCAAAAAGTGAATTTTTACCTGTTCCGGCCATGTTGTTCGTCTTGAACCCTTCAGACTGCATTTTGCGTGCCGATTGGAATGAATGGCCGCGCACCCTCCCGCTGCCGCGTTGCGCTGCGTTTCCAATCCCACCCAAATGCGCTGCAAGCGAAGAAAACTTGGATGCAGGCGACGAGTCTTTCGTGTGTTGGACCGCAAGCATGCCTCGATTGCCGCAAATTCCACAAATGGAGCAAAATATGCCTTCCTCCAGTCTTTGGTGCCCTCTTTTGGGCAGACTCGATGGCATGCTTGCCCTCATGGAAGCTGTGATTCCTTGTTACAGTATCTTTGTTTGGTTTGTCTGGCCTGATTCCTGTTAATCCTCTTCTGAGTGATGACGAGAGAATGTGCTTTGACGTAGTATCGATCCAGTGTTGTTGGATTGACTTTGTACCCTTCATGAAACCAAGGTGCTTCCCTCATGTGTGAGGGACACCCAGTAGACCGCTGCATCGGTGTTTGTGTTGAGGTCAGGTTGGCCGGTCTTGTACCATGCCTCAATCCAGGGCCCCATCATGGAAATCAGTGATCTGATGAGGGCTCTGTTGCACCGAGTGACGTATACAGAATCTTCCAGTATGGAGCTACCGTCTCATAGATTTGTTTTTAGGAGTCCAATGGTTCCTTTGTTATTGGGGTGCAGATGGTCAATCTGACAACACTTATGGTATCAAGAAGTTGCTGAAAGGCAGCTATTGCATTGCTTGGCCTTTCAGCAACTACCTTCATGGGAATGAGTGTAGGTGTGGTAAGGCACAGTTCTTGCCAGAGTTGATGCCAAATCTGAAGCTTGTTGACATTCCATTCGGTTCACAGTGGAAAATTGAAAGCCTGGCAGGAGCTGTGTATCTTAGTGTGTGCTGTGGAAGGATGAGAGAATACAGTGTGATTCTGGCGCTTGACCTGCGTGAATGAATGCCTGAGTCCTGCAGAAGAGTCCAGACAGGCCAATTCTTCCCATGGACCTGTTCCAAGCGTGATAATTTCTTTTTTGAGATTTTATTTCGAACATGGGAGTTGTTCTGAGTTATTCCTCAATCCCAATTATTGGATGTGTGAGATGGAAGTCCTGTGAAGTTTCAGTGTATGAAGAAACTCCACTTTTTGTGACTTCTTGTTGAAATTTTGCCTGAGATTGAGCAGAGACGCTCAACTCTTGAAGGTGTTCTACCTTCTAGTTGGCATGATACTGAAATAAGTTCCCCCTTTTAAGTTAACATAGAGAGGCAGTTAGCTTCTTTGCTCTAAACAAGAGCTCTTCTGGCTGGAATCAATACAAAGTGAAAAAGCTCATGTTGAGATTGGAAACTAAAGATTGAAAAGTTACTGAAAATTTATTTGATACCTTGTTGCCTGTTTTCTGCATCCTGCTATGTGATGGGAAGCTTTAAAATGTGTGCTTTATGCATGTTATATGCCTTGTGAGGAGCTCATAGCTCACTTCAGGCTTGATATCTTTTCAAGAGTCAAACCTGAATTGATGCACTTTATATATACTGAAGTGTTTGGATTGTGTGGCTGTCTGACATTCTCTGACACTGTCAGAAGTGAATTGCCACTTTTCATCTGCCCTCCATATATTCACTATGGGTGATGTTCTTGGCGTTAAAAAAAACCCACTCCTCAAAGTGTTAAATTGGATTTCAAGTTGATATCAACCATCATGTATCAGGAATCTGCTGCCTCATGGACTTAATCTTCCATTTCCTTTGTGACCTGTGAGAAAGGGGCAGTTATTGTTCTTAATTTGTTGGGGTATTTTTTAATTTTTTTTTGCTTTGTCTGCTGTTACCATTGAACCTATTTTTCAGTGCACTTGCCTAATTTTAACCAATGGACATATGCAGCTTTCAGCTTGCATGAGGATGCCTTTTCAGTTTAGCAAGAAGATTGGCACCTTAGAGGTAGTGTGCCAAAGCAGGAAGAGTTGCAAAGATGCTTTGATAATTGTCATTTATTTGCCTGAATTAATTAATATTTATGCAGTCATTTGCATGTAAAAAATTTTTTTCTAGGAAAAGCTTTAGTTTCTTTTTGAGAGAAGTGAGAAATTGCTTGCCAATGTTGCAAAGCATGGTTGTACCTGTGTATATATATGAATGCTTAATGTCACCATAGCATTATATTATTTTCTTGCAATACTGATCATTGTTGAAAGATGCTAAGTTTGAGAACATGTAGCACTCCAAAAGGCAGCAAACCTCAGCAAGTAGGCAGAATGAATAAGGACTGGGGATGAAAGGAGAGGGATACAATTAAGTTCAGTTTAAATGCAGTGTTATCACACTGTGTACCCCAAGAAAGTGTCAGTTGGGGAGTGGACTTTTAAGGACTGGTGGTGCTTCAACTGATTGTGTGGTGGAACACTCCACATTATATCTAAGGCTGCAATATTGTACAATTGTTTTTTTTTTTTAACTTAATGTAAATATATTGTTGATGCAGTAGTTCAAAGGGTATGGTGCATCAGGCATGTACTCCCCTTTTTTGCCACAGGGTTATAAAGTTAGCCTAATGATTACCATCAAATCAATATCTCCAGCTTTTATTCTCTTAGGCAGTTCCCCAACTTCCACTCATGGACCTACATAGGTGCTAAAGAGAAAAGACAGGGTTTCCAAACAGGGAGACTCTCATGTGATAGTGGGGTCCAGCTGAGTGAAGGGGGGACGGGAGTGGATGCTCTCAGGGATTTGGACGTGGAGGGCGGATGGAGGATTCTGAGTACCTCAATCCATGGAGCACGGAGACCCAAGCACCCAGTCCATGCAGTCTCCCTGATCTTGATGACATGGGCGTCTCTGATGCCTGGTCTGTCTTTTTTTCATTCTATTGTTATCTGTCTTTTCCTTTTTCTCTAATGGTTGATTAGCCGGATTCCACATATATAGATGTGAAATATTTATTATGGCAGGGCCGAGGCAGATGCACTCCCTGTAGATGGGGTGAATGGTGAGGGGGAAGGAGAAGGGGAGGGGAGCCCTATTCCTCTCCCATTAGTTCCCAACTGGGATGATCCTCAAGAGGCTCTCAACCGTGCCCATTTCGCAGTTCCCGACCCCATTGACTCTGATATCTCATCGCAGTTGCGTGCCCGCCTGGAAGATGTCAAAGGCATGCTTTTATTTGTCATACTTTAAAAAGGCATATTTTTTGCTTTGGAAAAACATATGTTGGCAGAAAGGCTTTGTTTGGCAAGTGAGACAAATTGGCATTACTCAGTGTTGAAACTTTTTTAAAGAAAATAGCTGGAAGTCTCATTTTTATTGTTTGACTTGTGAATTTCTTCTGTATGTAAAAGACTCTTATTAGGGATTGTGTGAGGGGACTTGCATAAAGTTATTCTTCAGGGGTAGCATGTAACAACTGGGTTCATTTCCCCCGTCTTTTCTCAGTAAGGGCTGCCCATGTAATTTGAAGATACTGCTCTCAGCAAACTGTGCCTGATCTCCCTATTGTGATTTTTTCTGGCTAGTGTGCCTTCCAGTTTGTCAGTATATGTAAAAATTATTTCAGTGTTATAAGTCTTCTTGGAATTCAGTGAAAAATGAGCTTTTATGAAATTGATAAATTTTTGCGTACTGTCTCCATGAAGATCCCAGTTCGGAGCCAGGTCTCTGCGGCCTTCACAACCTTGGGAACACATGCTTCATGAATGCAGGGCTACAGTGCATGTTCATGACTCTGCCCTTGGCACAGTTCTTCTTGGACCGGAACCATGAGTGGGGGATGAAACCCACTCTCACAGACCAATTTGCACTCCTCCTGCTAAAGGCATGGAGTGGCCGATTCCGCACCCTCCATCCGCTTGATTTCAAGCACATTCTTGGCCTCCAGCACAGCCAGTTCAAGGACTTCCGACAGGTGACTTTATTCTTCTGGGCTGGTCACTGCTCCACTAGGGTGCATCATTTGTGGGGTTAATGTTTCTGGAAATCAGGAAGGACCCTATGTCCCTTCATGATGCTAACTAAGAAAACAATTTAAACCTCATGACATGCACTACAAGATGTACATATTTTAGGAGAATTGCAACATTTTCCTACTGCATTTGGATTTAAGTCAACCTGAGTCCAGAAAAAGACAGGAAAATGTATGAGCTTACTTTGCTCCTTGTTTTGATGCTGACTTCCCACTTATGTTTTTTTGGTGACAGCATGACTGCCAGGAGTTCCTGGCCCTCCTCCTGGACTCCCTGCACGAGACACTGAATTTAACCCGACGTGTCATCCCAGATGACCTTCCAATCAAGGGGAAGGGAGAAAGGGATGGGAACCCAGAACCCGACACGACTAATGCTGAGTTGGGCATCTCCTCTGCCGGCCAGGTCAGTTGTCGTGATTCTTCTAACAGATGCATCAAGTCACTTAGCTGGGTAAAGAAGAGTCTTTAAAGCAGAGAGCAAAAACTGGAAGGAGTTGAAAGGAATGGAGGTGTCCATTTGTATTTGTGACAATCTACAATTTCACTCTAGTTTATTGCATCTGTGTTCATGGATTCTTGGCATGGGATTCCTTGCTAATTCCTACAGTAGGTTACAGGTTTCCATTTGTGGTTGAACTTATTGGGATGTGACTGGTGAAAAGCTAGGTGCTTGCAGCAGATGTATGTGTGCACATCTGTTGCAAAAGCTCGTGAGTCTTAGTTAATGATTCTCAGAGCTTCATGTTTGCCCTCTACTCCAGTGCTGGCATTCCAGTAAAATCTACTGAAAGTTACTGAGGTAGTTTATCGCCAACAGAATTTCTTAAATAAAAGACAACTGAAATTTTTACCATCAGTTGCAAAGTGAATATAGTTGACACCTGCAGAGTGGCCAATGATTTAGGCAAACATTATTATTTGAACTGCAGACAAAGTTTCATTCCTATTGATCAGCCTCCACATGCATTTGCCTTTAGTATCTGAAGAGGAAAAAAAGTGGCATTAAGTCAACACATTATTCTATCACTGTTAAAAGTAACAGACAAATAGGATCATGAAGAATAAGTTTTATTACCTTTTTCTGTGCATGTGGCATGCTGTAAAATCTCGGGAAAAAACTACCACTGTAGGGTGGGTAGCTTGCAGAAAAATTGTCAACTAGAGGGGTAATTAGTAGCATGACCTTTGGAGAATGTGATCTAGCTTCCTCTGTTGACATTCATATTCCATAAGCCATTTTATTGCCTTGGAATGCTGCTACAGCTAGCAAGAAGTGTTTTATCATAAACATTTTATGAGCAGTTATTTAACACATTGACCACTATGAGGTGCGACAGTGCACCTCACTGAGTAAGAAAGTCACCAGGCCAATATTGGTATGGCAGTCAATGTGTTAACAACAGGAGGAAGGTTTCACTTGCAGAAGTTGAATTTTAAAATTTGCTGTAAGGAATAGACATGAAGCTCATTTTTGCATCTTCACTTTCCAGTGAGAATGGCAGAGGAGCAGTCTGAAAGGATTAATCATAGAATGTTTTTTTTCTCGTTTTGACCTATGTGGTCCATTGTGTCTGAGACATAGAAGTGAAACTTATGCAAGTAGAAGAATGGAATATATTCTTTAGAAGATTTAACTATTGTGTTGTGCTTTGACATTGTGCTAATTTTCATGATCTGAAAATGTACTTAATGGAAATGACTAGAAGCAGCATGTGAGCTATAAGTGGAATTCTGTCCCAACTCTGCAGGCTTGAGAAGTAAGCCTTCATGGTTAAAATTAAACAACTTGCATGAGTTATTTATTAGTGCTAATATTCCTGGGCATTATAAAGTTCAAACAAAGTTTTCTTTGTTTTTAGGGGGGTGGGGCACTCTCAGAATGCTCCCGATCCAGCCCGTCCCAATCCAGTTCACCCCGCAGCTGTGATTCCTACTCATCCTATGACGTCAACTCCAGTTTCCGTCTTCACCCCATTCCGGAACATATCAGGCGTCGAAACAGTGAAGAGGAGGACCTTCGGCTCCCCGACTGTCCAACAGAACCAGAGGGTCCTGATTGTACCCATGGGGATGTGGATCCTGGAGATGCCTTTGCTGCATCATCTTCGTCGTCATCATCAAGCCTCCGCGAGGAAGAGCCAGGGTTGCCACTGACTCAACCTATTGCTCTCACTGACATTCTCAAGGATGCCAAGACATCCAACATCAATGTCCTCATCACTGATGAACCCCCCAACAATGCCATGATGTTTGGATCAGAGAAGTTTGGCAAGTCAGAACGAGTGCGTCCACGTCACACCATTGAGAACATCAACCTGGCCCAGTTTCATGACTTTGGTGTGGAAAAGGTTGAGCCTGGAAAAGATTTGAAGGTTGCAGCCAGTCTCATGGCTGAAGCTGCTCAATGGAAGCTCAGGGGATCCAGCTTTGATGATGGTTTGTTGTTCTTCCTGTCTTTCATACTGATTCTAAGTGGGGCTTCTTTCCCTTTGAGGAGAACAGCATGAAAGTAGTTATGCCTTTTCTGAGATTCTTATATTGTGATATGAAGTTTCTATTAACATGTTCCCTGTGGCAGTAAAACTGCCTGGCATTATATGAGGAGCAACCCACCAGTCTGTGGCTCTGCAGGAATGTGTTAACATTTATAGGAGAGCTCCTGCTTCAGTATTCACAGACATGCCACCACTTCTAAATTTATAGAGTTGACAGGTTACCTTCTGACTGCATTACATTCATACATTCTACATTCATATAAACACTGAACTGTGTAAATTCCTTATGGAATAGGTTGGGACAATGTCAGAAGAGTAAACAGGCTCACTCTCTTGGGAGTTGAGATCTCTTGAGTCAGGAATTGCATGTCACAGTTGTATGCATGTAAGTACTGTACTGTAAGTTCCCCTTACATAGAGTTTTCATTTCTGCTGTTTCTTCATTTGAATGAAATCCAGGGGCCAATCCGTGAATTGGGTTGCTGATGTTGCACTCAAATATCTTTTTTACTGTTAGGTTAATGCCATAATGAAGCGGGTCTTGTGACTTGGGAGCATCTCTGAATCAGCTGCAAAAATGCTGAAAATTCCTTTTGTTAACAGTCTTTAAGGAATCATGGACTCCTATGGGAGGAAAAAGAGCTCTTTAGCTTTAGGCCACTTTATTGCCCACTTTATTAAATTAGGCTTGTGCATTCAGGCCTTAGTCCCTGCCAAGGGTATGGTGATGGGCTTATGTGTTTCTAAGCATGAAAAGGTCAAACAGTACATAAGGTTAACTTTAAAAAAAAACTAAAGGCTGGTTCTTTAACCCCTTTATTCCTTACTGTTAGAATGTCTCTTCTGAGAGTGTTTTGTTGGGTCTTAGAGAAAATTGGGAAAATTTCCTGCCTTTCGGTTTTCTTATATTTTTGGAATTGCATTGAGTTGACTTATTTCTCCCATGGTAAAATAAGTAATGCATTTATTACTTTTGTGCATTCTTAGTTTATTTGAAATCCATTCATAAAAGGGAGATCAGGGAGATGAAACCTTTATTGAGCCAATTGGTGCAGAAAATTGACACTTCTTCCTATGAAGAAAACCCATAATGTGCTTTTTCTGTCAAAGCAGAGGAGGAGGTAGAGACTGGGTCTGTGAAGCGGCTGAAGCTAGAAGTGAATATGAAAGAGAAGAATCTCATGTGTGCACCCACATCATCATCGGAGACCACATCTGAAATCCCAATGGACTGTGATGTTAGGGTGCTTCCTCCCTTACCCACATTCAGCCAGCAGGACATCCAGTCTGCAGACCTTGAGTGGGACAAGTACCTGGCTGCCAATCGCTCCATTGTGGTTTCCACCTTCCAGGGACAATTTAAGAGCACTGTGAGTTGTCTAGACCCAGTTTGTTGTCTGTAGAACAGCTGGCTAACCAACATATTGAGGTTGTCTTTTGTATCATTTGATTTGATATCTAGATGGCTGGGTAAAAATGGAAGTGGGGAGAAGAATATGAAAAAATATAGATGAGGGCATTGCTGGACATGAATGGGGAAGGGGAATGGATGGGAGTTGATAAAGGAAAGAAAGAATGATGTATGAATGAAACTTGCAGATGAAATATGAGGTATGCTTATTGGAGTATGAGTCTCTGGGACTCAACATTTTGAGATCTTACATGAAGTCATGGTGCCATTGGAATATTTCCTGTTTAGACATTTCAAAGCTTTAGGTTTCTAGTACTGGTCTGCAGACTAATTGCTATTGGTATAGTGAAATAGATCTAGAGAATGAGATGATGCGCAATGAGAGAAACAAAAGTTATTTGTATTGCACTGCTTCTTTGAGGGAATACTTTGACACATTCATATAGTAAAACATTCCATTGCTAGATACCAGATTTGTCTGAATTTACTTCCTGCTTTTGAAAGCCATCTCTGTCTGTTATATGTTTAACCCTTTCAGACCTGGCATCCATTCCAATGGACATTGCATTTACATTGCAACTATGGCAATTTTTTAGGATGCTCGTGACTTTGCGCTCCATATTACGCTACAATGGGTGCAATTATGCATGGCTCAGTTCCATAAGATGCCTTCTTTCACCCATTAGTTTTGTAATCTTCAGTTATTTAATTAAATATATAATATTAATTAAATGTATAATATAGTCACACCTTCGGCGCTCCATTACCTTGGATAGTGATTAATTCATTTATTTTTTGCAAGATGGCAAAGACGTATTTAAAGTACGTCCCTATTGAAATATGTGACTTATGGGGATGAAAGTCTTGATTTTTATCAAAATCATTACTTCTATTATTTCTAGTGTGCCTAACTTGAAAACTTTTCTTGTGTCCCTTTTTGTAAGGGTGGAGAATACATTTTGAAATGCTTCCCTCCTATAATCTACACTAAGGAGACATATTTCAAAAGTAGGATTTTTCCTGTACTCAGCCATCAAACAGGTACTTCTGAGGGAAGTTTAAATTTTCTGTCTCTGTTTCGTTGGATCTGCCCTGATGGGTTTTAAAGAATTTTTTTTTTCTTTTGAAATGTTGGCTCAGGGAACTCCATGCCATCCAGTTTCAGCGTAATACAATTCCCCTTTTTGCTTGTAGAAAAAATGTATTTGGAAAAGCGACCCACCCAAAAGCTGTGCTCTGGGGAGATGCGCAACAAAAGTTCAATTTTTCCTTAAATCAACATCACATCCATTATGCGTGCGCCAGCTACTTTTCTATTTCTGCCCCATTCAGTGGGATATGAAAAATTAATTGAAAATGTTATGTCCCCAAAAATATTTTGGAAATTTGACGTTTGTCACTTGAGTTCAGTGCGTCACCAGTCACATTCTTGGCAAGTTTCATATTTCCATGTGTCTCTGTTTGATTGAAGCAAAGAGAACTATTTTAAAATATGTTCCCCAAGAAGGTGTGCCCCTATGGCATGTATCACCAAAGTAATATATAATTTTTCCTGAACTCAGCATGCGAATAGCTACTTATGTCAGTCAGTCAGCTACGCACAATCTTCTGTATATAATAAAAGTATAATTTTTTCTTTACTCAGCTATCCATTAGGTACTTCATTGCCAAGTTTAGATTTTCTAGCGCCCTCTGTTTTGCCAGATCAGAAAATTCCAGAAAATAATACACCTTTTGCAAAACATGTACCCTGAGCCGTTTTAACTGAAAAGTACCTTTTTTTTTACTGAAATTCATTCTCAGTGAACTACATGCCCACAAAGTTTCAATATTATACGTTTGTCCTTTTCCTTGGTGAAAAAACATGTTTGGAATAGCCGACCCACCCAAAAGCTATGCCCAGAAGGGATTCACCATGAAAGCTGAATACTTCCTCAGCTCAGTAATATCATGTCACTTATACATGTACCAAGTTTCACCTTTCCATTTCTGTCCAATTCGCCAAGACAATTTTTTTTTAAACATCGCCCCTCAAAAAAATACCCCAAGGGATGTATTGAGACTTAGCATTTTTATTTAACTCCTTGTCTCAGTAGTCACATTCATGCAAAGTTTCAGCTTTCCATGTTCATCAGTTTAACTGATACAAAAAAAAATGGTTGAAAACATCTCCCTTTGAAATTTGTGCCCCCAGGGCATTTACTTCCAAAGTCTGAATTTTTCTGCAGCATTCCAATAGGTAGTTATGTACCAAGTTTCATCTTTCCACACGAGCTGAATACGTCAGGACAAAAAAAAATACTTGAAAACGTCGGCCTCAAAAATTTCCCTCCAGGGTACGGATCTAAAATTTTGCATATGTCCTGAACTCATCGTCTCTGTAGGCACGTCCATGCCAGGTTTCAGCTTTCCATGTCTCTCCGTTTTACTCAAGCAAAAATAACGTTATGGAGGGGGATCGAGTAATGGAACATGGAAGGCAAAAGAAAGCCAAGGAATGGCCAGGAGTTGAATCCGGACCTCCTGATTGCTGGTCAGATGTGCTACCACTACACCACCAAACCCAGGACATCCAGTTGACCCTCTGAATCCCATCCTCATACGTCGCAATATATATTTTAAGAAAACTTTTCCCCCCCAACATGTGTACCCCCAGGGGATGTACCTCCAAAGTTGGATTTTTTCTGAACTCAGCATCCAAAAAGGTATATATGTACCAAGTTTAAGATTTCTAACCTTTCTAGAACATGGTTAGAATTAGCGTCAGTCATGATCGTCTATATGTATTAGATAAGATATGGTATGATATGGTAAATTTATACAAAATATGGAAACAACATATAAAGCATGAAATTTTCAATTACAATCACAAAAGAGCTGAAAAATGCAAAAAAGGATATTTTTCTGATAGCAGCCTTAATTCAGGTCTGATAGGGCTAATGAAACCCTTTGAGCTGTCATTTTTCTCTTGCAAGATTCTCCCATGTCATTGTCTTCACGTCTTCTTCTTCCATCATCCAAACATGACTGTCTTGGTCAGCTCCATTCAGAGAAGTGAATGCTGTCATATGGGCAGTTTTCATTTCCACATGCTCCAAGCAGACATTGTTAGAAGTGTAAAGATGCCCCAAAGGGTATTGTAAGGGACCCAAAATATCCAGAACGCCTTGAAACTGTTTGCAATTCAAATTTGATGTGTTTTCATATATAGTCAGTTGCCCATCATCAGTCCCAATAGTTGCAAGAAGATTGCCGAGGTTATAAATGCAAATGGTTTTTCTTCTTGTGAACAGTGGCTTAAAAGGTAACTGAATAAGTCACTGTCCTTACTGTCTTTCTTTTTTCTTAAATTTTCTTGTTAACTTATTTTGATAGCAAGTTTCAGTGGTGGATCCAATGAAGTTGGGAGGATGTTGTCCATATTAATAATAATAGTGTCATACAGGTACTTTTTCTGTATTTCTTGGGTTTTTCCCCAATCCCCCATCAGCATTCACCACTCACATGTGGGTATGACCATGCTGTCTGCCATATGCATCCTACCTTATTTCATTTCTGTATTAATGTCTTTTCCTTTGACCAGGTGACATGCAACCACTGCCAACATGTGTCCGTGACATTTGAACCATTCATGTACCTCTCAGTTCCACTGCCACATGCCATGGAGAGACAGATATGTAAGTGCTTCTTCTATATGTTTTTCATTTGTTTGCTGCTTGGTACAACTCGCACCTCTTAGTGCCTATTTGACTAGTATGAACTCAATCTTCCAGGACCTAAAGCATATTCCATGGTTGATTGTGGACAGGTGTGACATATGTGTCTGGCCCCATGAGCCAGCCACCTGTCAGGTATTTGCTGACCCTAAACAAGCACGACAAGGTGAGAAAGCTGAAGCAAAGCCTGGCATCTGTGGCTGGCCTTGTGGATACTGATTCTGACCTTGTGATTGCTGAGGTCTTGGACCACCATGTTGCTCGCACCATTGTGAGTCACTTTATTTAGTGTCCAATCTAAGTGTAAGGCTGCAGCCCCAAAAACCATGATTTCTTGGATTGAAGATGGCTAATAACAGCAGTAACTTTTTGCAACAGGATGATGCAACGAGCCTCCGCTTTGTGAATGATGTGAACCGGGATGTGTATGCATTCCGGCTCCTTCCCGCTCCTCCCAGTATGGATGCAGCACCCATCAACAAGGAAACACTTGTCAATAAGGTTCCCAGACCTGCATCCTCTTCCAAGAATTCCACAACTGCTCAGGGAACTGAGGATGAGATGCTCGTCTCATCATCTCAGCTGTCTTGTGAGGAGCCACGTAAATCTTTGCAGGTCAGTGTTTGGTTGAATGATGTTGCTTTGAGGAAGCAATACATGGCTGACCAGCTGTTTTGTACTTCATCCATGATGGAAATAGAAATGGTTGTCTTGTAATGGAAACTTTTTTGGGATTAGGGTATGGAACTTTCTGCTGTCAGATCTCCCTGTAACCATTCAAGTATGCATAATTTTTAAAAAGTTTGAACATTTTTAGGTCTTCCACTCTGCAAAAAATGTTCATTACTCTCACTTATTGTTATTGCTTCTTTTCTTTACATGACATGTTGTGAGTTCAGCAAGCATGAGACTTGTGGAAGGATAAAATGGACAAATGAATGCAGAAACTTGATTTGTTTAGTTAAAGCTGGGATAATGAATGTACTGTTTTTACTTGATTCTGCCAGCAATCCTCTGAGACAGAGGTTGGGGACTCTGGTGTGAGCTCCTCAACTGAGGTGGAGGTGGAGGTGGAAGTCTCGCCAGATGCTGTCCTCGATACCGGTTATGAAGGGGACAATGAGGGAGAAGGTGGGAATGAGGCTGTGGCTGCTGGACCCTCATCATCCTCGTCACCCCTCAAGCCCTGTGCCATCTGTCTTGAGGATATGCCAGACTCAGAACTCCTCGTTCATACTCCCTGCAATTGCTTCCTCTGCCAGAACTGCATCGATGTGAGCCCTGAACACTTCATTTTTCATCATCAGTTGACTAGGTAGTATAGGTATCATGATGCTGCACTCATAATTGCTGCTGCAATTGGAAATTGGTCTTGCCATAAATGTATTGGTAGACTTAGTACAGCAACATTTATTAGTTCTCTCAGAATTTACAATGTTGTTTAGCTGTGATGGCAACAGTTGTGGCAAATTTGGTTCATTTTGTTAATTGAGAGTGTTTCTGATGTAAAACTACCTAGGATGTTGTTGATATTCAACATCTACATTTATTTGCTATAGATGTCCTGTAAGCACTATGGTGGGGGACTCCTGCAGTGCCCTGTGTGCAATGAAGTTGTGAACCCATGTGAATACTTCCAACCCCTTGATAAAGTCACTGATCTCACCCCACGTCTCAGGTAAGCTTTCCTCATGTCTATACAGGTGCTTGCCTCATGTTAAGAATTGTCTCTTCCAAAGTTTTAGTCTCTTGTTTTTTGTAGGATTCTCCAGGTGGGAATTGTTTTGCGAGAGGATTCCCTTGGGGATGGAGACAACAACAAACGACGGAGCCAACTTTTTGGCCACCCATATCTCCTCCAGTTGCCCAGCATGCTGCAAGCAGCTATACTCCGTGAAACCATTGATGCCCTCGTTGGAGGCATTGCCCCATACGACCTGCTTCTTGTCGATGGGCAGGGTTACCGCTGTTCCCGGTGCATGTTCACAGCCCACTGCCAGGGCTGTGCCATCCCACATGAGGGAGAGTTCCACCTCCAGACAGGGGACAACCTTGCTGTTCGCTTCTCTGACATCCCACCTGAGATGAAGGAGTGGTGCAATGGAAGGGTGAATCATGAGAGCATGCAGTCCCGTTGTCCTACCACCTCCCTCACACTTGATGACTGCCTGAATGCTTTCAGTGAAAGGTCTGACTCTTCTCTTTCTCTAAAAATATGTAACATTTGTCTTTTTCTTAGCTGCAGTCTAAGTTAATATAACCATTCATCATTCTGTCCCTCTGTATGCCTAGACTTTGTTTACATTTAAAGATTGTGGACCAATACGTTGGTGAGAGTGTTATTTCATGATGATGAAACTTCATCCATTCCCACTCAATAAGATGACATGTTGATGACAGCTAATAGGCATGATTGGTTTAAATTTTTAATTAATGGTCAGAAGCAAAGTTTAATCCTCAATACAAAGTTAGCTTACTCATTGAGAGGGCTGAAGAATTGCATGTATTCTCACTATTCCAAAATTTTACTGTATTGGATTTGGCTTGCCCAACTTCTTGTTTTTGAGCCACCCTTTCTCTCTTGGAGGTAATTGAAGCTGTGCAAAGAACCTTTTTGAACTGAAGGGAACATAATTCATTGTACATTACAGTGAAGAACTGGATGAGAGCAATGGGTGGTGGTGCCCAACCTGCCAACTGCAGCAATGTGCCACCAAGACACTGACCATCTGGCGCCTGCCTCGACACCTCATCTTGTACCTCAAGCGCTTCATCTTTCATGAGTCAGCGTCGATCAAGCTCGACAACCCTGTGATGTTTCCAGTGGAGGAGGCCCTTGACATGTCCCTGTTCCTCACAGGGCCGTCTGCAAGCCATCCACTCTACGATCTGTATGCCTGCGTCTGCCACTTTGGGGGTGTGTCATCATGTCTTTTGTTGCTTCCCTTACTTTCTCTCATTGCACTATATAGAGACCCTGTGGAGTTTCACTCAATCACCATTATTGATTGCTGGGATGTTATTGGGCCAATGGGGAAGTAGTTATCACTGACTGTTTTGTGTGAACAGGGCCGTTTCTGGGGATGTTGGCACCCAGGGCAAGCAGTTCCAATGGCGCCCCCCCCCCTCTCCCTCTTTACCCCGCTGGCGGGCGATCGCCCGCCCCTAGAAACGGCCCTGTGTGTAAAAATCTTGATTAAGTCAGTTCTTCTTCTTATTAAGTATTCTGCCTATTGGCAGGTCCTAGGCATCCATCTTCTCCATTCCAATCTGTTCTCCATCTTTCTCTTCATTTTCACAAACGACCCTTCCTTCAGTTCCTCCA